GAAAATGTTTGGATCAATTGAAATACAAACGACGTCGAGTAGTATTCGTTTAATCAGAGGGAAAGACAAACACGTACAGTTGCAAGTAACACCAACGAAGACCATTAACGACTTGAAGTTGATTCGGCAAAAGAAAATAACAACAGATGGTGTGCATGTTAGTGGTTGTTGCGTGTCAGTTAATGGCGAATATTTGTTTATCGATGAGTTCTCAAAAAAGCTAAATGTTATTGCGCCAGATGGTACATTTAAATATAATATGATTCTTAGTCCTAGTGACGGGTTTGATATAACATTTATCGATGAGAAAACGATCGCTATCACATCAGGATATTCCTATGAACATTTCGGTTTTGACATAATAGATACCGAGAGCCGAGAGAAAATGAAGTTCATCAATCTGCCTGGTCGTCCATTTGGAATCACACGAGATCACAACTCATTGTTTGTCTGTGTTGAAGGATGTGGTATATATGAAGTAAACACTTTTGATTATAGGAAGTCTCACGTGATCAGATTTAACTTATTGTCAGGTTCCTACGTATCTGTATACAACGACGAGATATACTGCACTGACATAGATGATGACAGTGTAGTTTGTTATGACCGTAATGGATCACGTGTTTGGACTTTTGAAGATGATTCAGTTTTGAATCGTCCGAGAGGCATCACTGTAGATAATGACGGTAACGTGTTTGTTATCGGAGAGAATTCGTCGAATGTGGTCATTATATCAAATGATGGAGAATTCCACAGACAAGTTCTGACCAAAGAAGATGGTCTCTGTGAGCCGTCTACCATTTACTTTAATGAGCAAACCAGGAAACTCCTTGTTGCGAACAATAAAGAAACTGCTTTCCTTTACAGTGTTAATTAAGGTGATTGGAATTAAAATGACTAATTCGTCTGCTTTTTTCTTTGAGTCACAGAAAGTTTTGCTATAAATATAAGAAACATATTATTTCTTTACACGTTTTGGAAAATGTAGATACCAGAATTTGCAGATATTTGAATAAAGATCAACATAAAGTTATGAATGTCACTGGTTTTTAAACGAATATAACGACGGAATATAAATTATATGAATAGGAATGAACATGTGTGTGCAGTTTCGAAAAGTTGATCATGATTTTGTTAGAACAACACTGGAAATTCTTGACACAAAAGTCAGTTATTTTATTTTTGTATTGTTTTGCAATGAAAATTAAAATCACAAAAATACTGAACTCCGAGGAAAATTCAAATAGGAAAGTCCCTAATCAAATGGCAAAATAAAAAGCTCAAACACATCAAATGAATGGATAACAACTATCATATTCCTGACTTGGTACAGGCATTTTCTAATGTAGTGAACCGTAAAAAAAACCACAGGGGTGAGGATTAGAACTTACTGATGCTTTTAATCATTTTCTGAGTGTCGACACAGGGTGCAACAAATTTGTTCTTAGATTATTGTCTGTTTACTTAATTGGTACAATTAACAAATGAGCTAATAATTCCTTGAACTATTATCTGAATGAATGCATGAATAAATGAATCGTTTATTCTCATAAACTTAATACAAAGTTACAGAGCATGGTATATATATATATATATTTCGATCCCTAACATCACTGAAGAGACATTAATTGTCGAAATCCGGATATGGTGTACAAATTTTTGCACCTCATGGTTGTGGTATACCATCTTTTCCACAAGTTTATTTTTTTCTGTTTTGTATTAAATTACTATTAAGATCATTTTGTTACATCTGTGATCAATTTATTTGGCAATCGCCAATGGCAGTCAGCAGGGTTTAAGAACATCTGTTGTTCGACCTGTTAGTCAAATGCGTTTTGTTAAAATATACTTTTTCACTTTTTTGGTCTTTTGGAAAATGTTGTTTGTGCTGTATTTAGAACCCTCTATCAAGAAATTTGTTTTGCATGCACACGTATAAAAATTGCGGTTTTTATCTAACGCAATCATAGGTTTGAACGTTGTTTTCAATTTAGACTTGTTTATAATTTTTCGTTTGGGCTTGTATTTTATTTTCCTTCGGGTTTATATGATCCGTTCATCCTATTTCTAATATTTCGACTCTTCAAAATTCAGAGTCTATCCTAAATTGAGGTAAATTATATGGCCTTCCAAATACCGTTTCGATCCCTAACATCACTGAAGAGACATTAATTGTCGAAATCCGGATATGGTGCACACGTATAAAAAATGCGGTTTTTATCCAACGCAATCATAGGTTTGAACGCTGTTTTCAATTTAGACTTGTATATATATATATACATAAATAGACTAACTACATCATGTACATGCATGTGTGAAATACCACATGTAAGTTTTAACTTGGAGGACATATGTTCACATAAATAATTGTAATAAATTTACACAGTTTTTCTTAGTGTACAGTATTTGAAGAATGGAAAAAAACATAAAATCGAGTCCTAGGTAATAATGTTGAGAGTTTTACGTCAATACATAAATGTGTATAATTTTGTGTTTCAATTTTGCAGATGTTTTTTTTGAGCGAGTACTCGAGTATCGATCGTTAAGTCCAACGAGTACTCGATTAGTAAATCTTTACCTAGTTGACATCCCTAATAAATATGTATGAACAATTACATGTTTTAATGAAAATAATTAAAACTTTCTTAAGCGTATATAGAAATTTAAAAAAACATAGACATGCTTATCGCTATGCTGGTCATGCATAATTACAGATAAATTTTGAAAATACTTATATATTTCTTAATCTTAGTACAATTCAACGTCTATATATATATATATATAGTTACCGCGAAACTTATCGAACACCGAATAAAGGAAACGTATTGAAAACTGTGTGAGAGAAACTTCTAGAACACTATAGATTTAAATTATATATTGTATATTAAGAACGTTTTGAAATTATTATGCAAGTCAAATAGAAAGTTCTAATCATTCCATCAGTATCTATGATTGTTACAGTAATTTCTAAACTATACAAACACATTATATGGTAAATAACCATTAACAGGTCAGAGGCCAATTATGTAAACATATTAGAAAGGCACACAAAATAGATTAGTCCAAGATATATAATCATAAAAATGACAATCTCATAACATATCCCCCTTACACTATCTTTACCTTTAATATGTTTTATAATAACATCTTATTCCTGTTACAATAAATTCCATATAGACAACCTATGGTTCTTTATCTCATTTTTTGTATGAAGGTAATAGGATTAAGATTAGTATACACAAAAAAGATGCAAAGTGCAAAACACAATAGTGGGAAAAAAATCTGATATTTATCTTATTTCTAAGAAAAAATTGAAATGTGCTTCTCCACATCATGATCAGCTGTCTCTATATACAAAACGGCTTCAATTTAAAAGACAAATTGAAAGAGTTGGTACTATGTCATAAAAAAGAATGGCCTACGTATATACAAGTATCTTGTCTCAAGGAGGGTTTAACCATATTTTGTAAAAACAAATATCAGAGGAATTCAAACAAATAATTCTCTAAAACTGACATTATCATGATTATCAAGATGCATGATTTTTGGATCGACATTTTTTTTACCCTTTACATAAACCAACCGGCATTCCGATGGGAACCAATTAGGCTCCTTATTTTGCTGAATTGTTACTTTATTTATTTGTGGCTGTCCTCATACAGGAACTTCTTAGGAAAAGAAAAGATGTAAACATAATCCTTTAACTTTACTTTCCGCTATATAGATGATGTTCTTTCACTAATTCAAAATTTGGTATCTATGTTGACCGCATCTATCTTATCGAATATGAGATACAGGATATAACTGATACAACTAAGTCTGCCTCATACTTTGACTTACATCTAGAAATTGACAATGAGGGTAGGTTGAAAACAAAAGGGATAATTTTAGCCTCCCAATTGTGAACTTGCAATCCTTATTTATACTGCACTCGTTCTATTTGAACAGTCAAAACGCGTTGACCGTATATTTCTATGTCATATACTGTCACTGACCTGATATCACTTTTCCTCATCAATATTTAAATAGAAATTGCCGAAATTATAATTATTATTCATACGACCTAATCAACCTGTTCTTGTTTCCAATGTATACAACGACTCAAACTTATTTCTTTTGCAATTTTTAGAAAAAAAACATATTTCACTTGTTATTTTTTTTTGGTTTGCAAACTATAAATTATTATGTTTTATGCTTATTGTTGATAATTTTAGTTCATTCTCAAACAAGTTCGTTCACCATCGATTGCGGGTTTCAACAGGTAATGTACATTTCATTGTGTTTTATATTTCTCCGCCTGCATGATATGAGGCCTTTTTATAAAAGGGGGAAGTTTCCCAATATTTAAATCAAATAATAACATTAACACATTAAACAACAATTGAAAATGTTTTTTTTTTAGATTGCAGTATAAAGACAATAATAGTGCATTGACTTGACATATCAACGATATAAGGATTCGGCCCGAAACGGGGAAAAAGCTCGGCAGAGCCTCGCATTCCCCCGTTTCTAAGCCTCATCCTTATATCGTTGATATGTCAAGTCAATGCACTATTATTGTCTATGTAGCAACATTCCAGCAGCGCCTTCATACGGAGTACATATCTACCAATTAATTTAATATTCAAGGGTTTATATAACCAATTATGATTTCCTTGGCAGAGGCTTGCGGATAGCAGCTCACAAGGAAGCTATTACAAATGTAAACCAAAAGTTCCAAGTGGTGAAGGTGAAATCATCCTTTCGTAACATTTACGGACGCCATCACGAGTTTGTTATTGAATATATCTAATAATACCAATCCTATCCCCTTTTACCCGAAAGTCACCGGCTTAATAAGACTTATCACAGAGTTTGTACTTTCAGACGCAACACGACGTAGCAGGATCTGGTTACCCCTCCGAAGCACCTACGATTCGCAAGTTTTTGTTGAGATTAGTGTTGCTCAATTTTAAAAAATTGTAAACTACTGTTGCCTTAATATGTCTAATATCTTCTGCTCTAAATAAAAAAAACATTCTTTTGTAAATGTAATGGTTTTGAGTATGATATGATGTGTTTCGTTTTTAATGGTACTTAGTATACATCATGGGACATACACTTAGAAGATATCATGTGACGTTTTGCTGCCTTGTTATGAATGTTGATACTTATTTGAAGATTTGTTATGGTAAGATTACGATTCATTTGACATGTTTGATATTGTATATACATTTTTGACATATTGCTTTTGAAAGAAAATTTGTCATTACAGCTATCATCATGTTTTAGAAATATAACTAAAATTGATTTTGAAGCGAAATTTCAAAACAGTTCAAACAAGTGGTTTGTTTAACATCTCAAGCATGTAATGAAAAAAGCAAATGATGATTTGATAATTATTTTCAAAATTACTGATTTAATTTGAGCAGATAGATATACTAGTAATTATACATTTATGTTCGTAAAGCAACAGTTCTCATTGTGTATATACAATGAGGGCAAGGTCATCAAACGCTATTTGATGTTATACTGTACTAGATAAGTACTGCACCATTTTTTCGACTGTATAATTGTATTTACCTTACTCATGTAACTTTGAATTAAAAGAATTTAAATTACTTATAAGTATTCCTGTTAACGGTATGTATTTTCTCTAAAAGTAGGAAAACCATTATCGGTAGATATATCAAAAAAATTATTCGATAGCCGAGGGACTCCATGGGGTATACAGAATAGAGAATAATGTCTAAAAAGTGCAAAATAAAGGCCAACATTTATAAAAAATAGAGATAAAAAAGTCAAAAAAAAAAGAAAAAAGAATAATAAGGCGCTTAACTATAAAGGATAGAGTAAATAGATAAAAAGAAAAAAAGAAAACGAGAAAAATGGTCTAAAAAATTGAGAAAAATAGTAATAAAGGACCCACATTCCGACCCTCATAGACTGACTGACGGAAAGCGTGGAAAACCTTTAATTATCGACTCAAAGTTGCTGCCAGCTTGATTATTGTCATTACAGTTCAGGTTCTGTTGGAAGTTAAGGGGCCGACCATTTGATATTCGGTGGAGTTAGTTTGTGTAAGGATTTTGCAATGAGTATCATGAATATTCTAGCCTGGTAAAAATTTGAAGAAGAAGAAAATTACAGAAAGGTTGTTAATCAATATTTTGTCCAACAAAAAGTTTAACAATATGGAAATAGTTTTGTACATGAGAGAAAACAATTATTCGCGAAATAGATAATACATACTAGCAACAATTAAAACAAGTGAACAAAAATGAATAATTTACAACCAAATTGTCCTGCCCCCATGTCCCCAAACAACATCAAATGATCGTCCCATATGTTCGAATAATAATTTTACTTAGAAATTGAGTTCAAAACTTCAATTCTAGTAAGAGTCTTATTGATTTTTTAGTTGACGCCCAGTCAAGTTGAACTCATCCTGTAGTGGCGAATAGACTTTACCCCGTTTTACAAATCATTTGCTATCTCTAATGTTCATCTTCTATGTAGTGGTCATCCCGTTTCAACCTGGGTTTTGTGCATATGTGTTTGACCGGACTGTGAATGTCTCGTTGTTTGTTTTTCTAATTTTTTGGAAGAGTCGGAGGTCGAATGTTAGTGATTAATGTTGTCTAATTAATCGGAGGAGTGGGGCGTTGGTGGTTAGTGTTTTCTTTAATTTTTCGAAGGAGTCGGGTGTTGTTAGTAAGTGTTGTCCAATATTTCAGAGGAGTCGGGTGTTAGTGGTTACTGTTGCCCAATATTTTAGAGGAGTCGGTTAATTGGGGTTAGTGTTGTCCAATATTTCAGATGAGTCGGATGATGGTGGTAAGTGTTGTCCATTATATTCGAGGAATCGGTTGTTGATGTTGTCTAATATTTAAAATTGAGAATGGAAATGGGGAATGTGTCAAAGAGAAAACAACCCGACCATAGAGCAGACAACAGCTGAAGGCCACCAATGGGTCTTCAATGCAGCGAGAAACTCCCGCACCCGGAGGCGTCCTTCAGCTGGCCCCTAAACAAATATGTATACTAGTTCAGTGATAATGGACGTCATACTAAACTCCAAATTATACACAGGAAACTAAAATTAAAAATGATACAAGACTAACAAAGGCCAGAGGCTCCTGACTGGGGACAGGCGCAAAGATCCTATAAGTGAATCAATATTAAAGCCAAAATATGCAATCTTTAATGACCTGACAACAGTATCGTAACTATATCCCTTCTTAAGTCTGTTTAAAGGTTTTGTTAGCTTTTGAAGTGAATACTGACATTTTTGTGCTTTGTAAAGAATATTATCATAAAAGATTGGATGTGAAATACCCGAACGTATAAGATGTCTGCATGTTGAGTTATATTTACGAATGATGTCCTTATACCGATGATAAAATTTAGTAAATGTTTTGACTAGTTTATGATATCGAAAACCCTGGTGTAATAATTTTTCAGAAATACATAAATTTCTTTCGCTAAAATATAATACGTTGTTACATACACGAGCGAATCGTACAAATTGAGATATATAAACACCATAAGATGGTGACAAGGGAACATCACCATCTAAAAATGGATAATTAACAATAGGAAATGAAAAATCATCTCTTTTATCATAATTTTTTGTATTAAGCTTCCCGTTAATGATATAGATATCAAGATCGAGGAAAGGACAGTGGTCATTGTTAGTATTAGCTTTATTTAAAGTAAGTTCAACAGGATAAATTTCTTTAGTATACATACTGAATTCGTCATTATTGAGAGCCAATATATCATCCAAATATCTAAAAGTATTGTTAAATTTTTGTATCAGATGTTGTTTCGATGGGTCTTTGCTGATTTTAGTCATAAATTGTAACTCATAACAATACAAAAACAGGTTCGCAATAAGTGGTGCACAGTTAGTCCCAATTGGAATTCCGATAACTTGACGATATACGGAATCTCCAAAGCGAACAAAAATGTTATCAAGTAAAAATTCAAGGGCAGATATAGTATCAAAGCATGTCCAATTGACATAGTTCTTTTGTTTGTTGCTACTAAAAAATGACCTAAAAGAGTTTGAACATATGTATTCGCATTCCGACTTTTTAAATGCCCATTTAATTAGGTGTGTGAATTTTTTCTTAATAAGAATATGAGGCAAAGTAGTATATAGGGTAGAAAAATCATAACTTTGAACAGATTCAAAATCACCAATATATGCATGCAATTTATCAAGTACTTCCAACGAGTTTTTGACACTCCAAAAGTAATTAATTCCACTATTTTCAAAGGCCTTATTTGAACAATTGCATGAGTCGGGTGTTGGTGGTTAATGTTGTCCAATTTTTAGAAGGAGTCGGATGTTGGTTGTTAATGTTGTCGGAGGAGTCGGGTATTGGTGGTTACTGCTGACGCGTGAGTCGGGTGTTGGTGATTAGCTGTCCATTATTTCAGAAGAGTCCGGTGTTTATGGTTAATGATGACTAATATTTCGGTGGAGTCGGTTATTAGTGATTATTGCTGTCGGAGAAGTTGGGCGTTGATGGTTATTGTCCAATATACTGTCCAATATTTCCTGTAATTCTTGTTATAGTAGTTTGTACTAATAAACTATTGAATTTCATATCGAAACTTTGTAACCATGTTAACGATTAAACTCGTGAAAGAATGACAAATACTGATGGAAACTGTCAAACTAGTTCTGTAAGATAAAGTTAACAGAATACGGACGACAACGAGTGACAGACGATGAAGGACGCAAAGGTATGAGAAAAGCTCATATTTTCCCTACAGCTGGTTTGAGACATGAACAAGTCGTAAAAAACATGCATATTGGTGTATGACTCTTCTTCATTTGTATGTTCAGCTATGTCGTTGTCTGAGTTTTTTGTTATCATTATCACGATTTTTGATTGAACTTGGTATCGTCTTCCTTTTTTGTGCAGATCGAAGAAAAAACCATAAAAGAATAACACCGAGTACCAACCAATGAACGTCCTTTTTCGCATATTAAAATGTTGCTGAAATGTCCATGACTTAAAAAGAGTATTTTTCCTAATAAGATTTTTTGTGAAATTAATCGCAGAAAAGCATTCTTACATATACTGTTATGAATACAAATATTTATTAATACATATTTCAGGTATCACCATGGCTACTAGTACAATTCTTTGTGATCCATGTTCAGTACGACACATAACTAAACCATCAACACCCTGGTGCTCAAAATGTGAAGAAGCTATTTGTGATGAATGCCAAGAACATCACAAAGTACTCAAAGCCACACGAAGTCACGAACTCATACCAATTGCCAAGTACAAATCTCGTCCGTCCTTCATTACTGATATACAGCAGTCATGTACCTATCACAATGAAAGGTATCAACAATAATGTGTTGCGCATGCGTTACCTTTTTGTTTCAAATGCATTAAAGAACAACAGAAATTGAAGAAGAAGTCACTAATAACCCGAAGACATCTGTGCACTTTCAAGATTTAGAAACTAGACTGATGGACTTATTACAGAACATTGATAGAATTAGGAAGGACTGAAAGGCTAATTTGGAAAGTATTGAAGAAAGGAAGGATCTACATCTTGCAGAAATTCAACAAATAAGAAACCAAATACAAAAAACATTTAGACAAACTTGAAAAAGAAATGATACAAGATTTTGAGAAAAAAAAGTGTCAATTTAAGAAAAATATTCAGAAGATTTTTTCATCAGTTCAAGAAAAGGAAAACTTGATAACAGAATATCAGAAAAATCTCCAAAGCACCAAACAACATGCTTCAAATCTTCAAACAGTTCTAGTAATGTGAGATATTGAGATGGAGGTTTTTGAAAATGAACAATATTTGGAATCGTTGATAGAAACCAAACAATTGGAACAAGTCGACCTGGATTTTAGGGTAGACCCAGGGATGATGAACATCTTGAATAGTTTAAAGAATTTTGGATCAGTTGAAATAAAAACGACGTCGAGAAACATTTGTTTTACAAAAGTGAACGATAAACAAGCACAGTTTCAACGAAAGCCTTTAACGATTTGAATTTAGTTCTACAGAAGTAAACTACGACAGATGGTGAAGTTGTTAGAGGTTGTTGCATGTCAGTTAATGGCGAGTATGTTTTCACAGATCACCACTCGAGAAAAAAGTTTAATGTTATTGCGTCAGATGGTACATTTAAATATGAGATAATGCTTAGTCCTAGTGAAGGGTTTGACATATCATTTATCGATGAGAAAACTATCGCTATCACATCTGGAAGTTCCTTTAAGAAGATTGGAATTGACATAATAGACACCGTGAGCCGAAAGAAATAATTTCATCAACCTTCCTGCTCGTTCATGGGGAATCACACGTGATCACGACTCTTTGTTTATTTGTGTTAAACGACGTGATATATATAAATTAAATACTGTTGATTAAACTACCTCTCACGTGATTAGTTGTTACTTACTGTGAGGTTCCGACGTATCTGTATTCCCCGACAAGCTTTACTACACTGAATGGAATAATCAAAGTGTAGTTTGTTGTGATCCTTATATATCACGTGTTTGGACTTTTAGGGATACTTCAGTTTTGAAATATCCAAAAGACATCACTGAAGATAATGATGAAAACGTGTTTGTTGTCGGGGAGACTTCTTCGAATGTTGTCATTATATCAAACGATAAAAAACACCACAGACAAATTCTCAACACAAATGATGGTCTCTGTCTACCGTGTGCTATCTTCTTTGATAAGCAGACCAGTAAACTTCTTTTTGCGAACACAAAAACAAACTGCGTTCCTTTACAGTGTTACTCAGAATGATTGAAATAAAATCACTTACATCACAATTTACAAGTTTTTTTTTTTTCATTGAACCAGTAATTTTCCCCAGTCGTTATACCGTTAAAAATTGATACCACTCTAGCCCACTTGTTGATCTGATAATAATAGATGGTCTATTAGTCCAGCAGTGGTTTCTGTAAAGTTAAATTGCACCCCTGTCCAGTCGTTGTTACGGTAAATTCGATTGCACTCTTGCCCAGACGTTGTTATGGTAAAAATGTATTCCACTCTTGCCAAGTCGTTGTTTTAGTAAAATAGATCTAATAACATAAACGATTCCAATTTTAATGCACCAGATGCGCATTTCGACCATTAATGTCTCTTCAGTGATACCCGAGGTCAAAATACTTGAATATCCAAAAACTTATACAGGAGGCCAACATATTTGATTATCCAAAAACTTGTACCAATCTAACTCTTGTCTAGCCGTTGTTCTGGTAAACATATAATGTACCTCTGCCCAGTCGTTGATACGGTAGAATCGTTTATACTCTTTGTCCAGTCGTTGTTCTATTAAATATATATTGTGCTCTTGTCCATTCGTTGTTCTCTTAAAATATATTGAACTCTTCACGAGTCGATGTTCCGTTAAACATCGATTGCCTGCTTGCATAGTCCTTGATCCGGTAACCATGAATTGTAATCTGGTAGTCGTTGTTCTGGTAAAAGTCAATTGTACTGTTGTCCAGTTGTTGTTGGTCCGATAAACATAAATTGCACTCCTGTCAAGTATTTTTACAAAAATCTATTATACTCCTGACTAGTCATTGTTCCGGTAAAAATAGATCGTACTCCTGCATGTCCAGTGGTTGTTCCGATAAAAATAGATTGTTATCTTGTCCAGTCGTTTGTTTTTGGGTAGATAGATGCACTATTGTCCAGTCCATGTTCCAGTAACATATATTGTACTCTTGTTCAGTTGATGTTCTGGGAAAACTAGATTGTTCTCCTGTCCTTACGCTGTTACGATCAAATCGATTGTACTCTTGTCCAATCGTTGTTATGGTAATATCGGTTGCATTATTGTTAATTTGTTGATCTGGTAAAATATTGTACTCTTGCTCGTCGTTGTTCTAGTAAAATATATTGAACTTCATCAGTCGATGTTTTGATCAGCATAGATTGCATGCTTGCCTAGTCCTTGTTCCTGTAAACATAAATTGTACTCTTGTCTAGTCTTAGTTCTGGAGAAAATTAGATTGTAACCATGTCCTGTCTTTGTTACGGTATAATATATTGTTCTCTTGTCCAGCCATTTGTTTCGGTGAACATACAATGTACTCTTGCTCAGTCGGTGTTCCAGTTAAAATGGAAGCACTCTTTTCCAGTCGTTGTTACGGTAAACCTAGATAATATTCTTGTCAAGTGTTTCCGGTAAAAAAAGATTGTATTTTTATCAAGCTGTTTTGTTTTGGTCAAAAATAAACAAGCTTCTATCTTTAATACGGTATTGGCTGATGTTGAAGATGAATTCGATTAAGAATTGATATTGCGATAAGTGCATTTTTTTTTCTTACAAAGCTGTGTTAAGTACCTCAGTATAACGTTTCAGAATAATGTCATACAAAATATGATTTATGTTTAACGTGTACATACTGTAAAGTTAAAGCGCAATACTTATTAGCATTTTTTGTAAAAATATATCATAATTATACAGATACGTCGTCGTTCAAATTTTACCAATACAAATATGACTTTTTGAGATCTTCAGAAACCACCGTTTATGTCATTTACTGCAACACATTTGAAATACTACTAACACTAGGAAGTTTGTTTCATATCTTTTCTTGAAATTGATGTTTGTTTGACTTAATAGCTTATCAAGCATACCAGATTTATCATTTAGTACGAGTGACTCAAGTTTGGTCTTCACAAAACTCATCAAAGATATTAGACGTATAATTAAGTAAGTCCGACTCAGGTTTCGCCGTCTCAAGACTCATTAGTGGCGCTACAATCAAACAATAAGAAAACTTAATCAATGGCGAAGTAGAGGAGCATTGAAACAAAAAATCCCAAAATGAAACCCGTCAATGAATAGGGGTAGAAACATTTTAGTGTTTTCAATGAATATAAATATTTACACAGGGATTTTATCTCGACAGGTGAATATGCATATGTATGTACAGAAGAAATTTAGGTCAAGTCTGTATAGAGATTAGATTTAACCACAAAAATGATAACTTTAATATCATTCTTCATGATATTTGATGTAAAAGAATTTTCGACATATATAACAATGAGTTTTTAGGTCTGTTTGCATAATTATATTGCAATGATTTGTACGTTGTGCGGGATCAGAAAATCCTGATTGTTGACATCTAAATCAGCTATATTACAAATACTTTTAACCCTAGTGTTGACGCATGTAGAAATCTGATCTCTTTATTTCTCCCGCCCGATGTTAATCCCCGAGTTGGGGAAGTATCAGCTGCTTGTGATGTATGAATACACAGGAACGTATTTGCATGTAGTATACAATTCATCAAGGCACTATTTATGTAAGGGGACAATTGCAATGACTCTTTCAAGGGTCCCTAAGTGACATTTCGCGATGCAAAATTTCTTTCAATACCTTACATTTCCTCTTTTGTTATGGGCAATCCGAATTGTATCTTGCCGTTTGTCCCCAACAGTAGACACTTTTACGCTGGACGAAAGTCAGCATGATAACGTTGTGACTTTGATGATAACTTCTTCTCACATGGTGTGATGACGTCAATAAGCTGTGCGTACGTCCTAAGGGTGTGACACCAAAAAAATGCACTGACTGAGTATAAAAAAAAAGCCGCAGGGAAGCACGATTACATAGTATATAAGACCTCAAAAATGTAATCGGGCTCACCCATTTTCAATCATTTGTGTCGAATGTATACTACAATTGCTGCTCAAACTAATTAATTTAGGAAACAACTAGTTAACTCTGAGGAAATAGGACGATGATGTTTTTTTTTCTGAGGATGGTTATAGGAAAATAAATTCTGGTTAAGATAAGTTGCCATGTAATTTAATGTTAAGTCCTTAGAAATTAATACTTTAATTTTCCATGTTTGGAAAAAATTCCAACTGCACAAAACACCCGCCCCCCTATTTTTTTAGTTAAATGATCGTTTCTTAGCATATATGCAACTTTCCAATTGTGTTCTTTTATCTTTCTGTCACTTCAGAGGTTGGGGTTTTTTTTTGCGCTTTTATTTCACAGATGGTGTAACAGAGAGAGAGAGAGAGAGAGAGAGAGAGAGAGAGAGAGAGAGAAGGGGGGAAACGTATAACAATCTTTTACAAACATATATGATTACCAATGGCATGTTATATATTTAGAAAACGACTATTTCACTGTTATGAAACTGGGAAGGTAATGGTTTTTTTTTAAACAAAAATTCCAAACATTGTAGAAAAATTTTTTTTGATTATGTAGTGTATACTTTATTTGCTGCTCGATCGAATCAATTTAGGAAACAACTTTTTTTACCAGAGAAAGATGGGAAGATAATGCTGTTTTTTTTTTGTAAAAAACAATTCTGATTCCAAAGTCAGAGAAAGGGAAAATACATTTTAATTTACAGTAGATGCCAAGTTATTTAAAGTTAAGGTCTTAAAAACTAATACTTTGAGTTTTCCGTGATTGAAAAAAATACCACACACACTAAAAAAAATTACCCTCCCCACCCAAAATTTTTGAATACGTGCGGCTTTCTAATGTTGTACTTTTGTCTTTCTGTCAATTCAAATGATGGTTTGTTTGAGCTTCTATTTCATAGACGATGTAATAGAGAGAGATAGAGAGAGTGAAGGACACGATGACATGCTTTATTACATCTAAAATAAAAAGTTAAAATTCGAAAAAAATGTGTTGCAAGAGAAATATGATATCCAATGCGTGTTAGATATTTTCTGTATAGTTCATGTCCAGATATCATTCGTTATCGATTTATACAGTCTTTTTTAGGTTGACATTGTGAGGGCAACATTTTGGATAATTGTGTTATATTCAAAATTCATTTATTCAATACATTGCTTCCTAGGTTTCGTTGAAATTTGAATATTTGCATGGCAAATGACCCCTTCTGGTAAAGGTAATAAAAGATTGTCGTCGTTCAATAATTATCCTTGGTATGTGGTCCCATATGAACATTTGAAACGAAATCTTTTGTTATCATTTCAGATAAATATGAAACATTATAAGATCCGGAAAGGAAAACAGTCGATGCGATAAAAATCTGTTCACGAAATTTGGATTCATTTGGTCAAGGAATGTCTATACAGAAGCATTTTGAGGGAGGCCTCGTATATGAAGTGTTGTGTTTTGTAGGCACTTAGTGTATATATCACGTGACGTTTTTCTTCCTTCTTGTAAAGAACATTTATTTACCTGTTGTCAGGTAGGTTAACAATATCTTAATAGTTATTATATATGAATTGTCGACATACAGCCTTTAAAAACAAACTATTAAGAAATATTTACAAAGCATTTTCTATGGGTATTGATAAAATTAATCTCAACAGACCCTTCAAATGGGTTGTATGACAAGCGATATTGAATAGCTCGAAATCGACGCAACTAACGATTCGATAGTTTTTACTAATTTAGATAGATAAGATTATCTTTAATTTTCTGAAAAAAAAAGCATTTGATGTTTCATCTGCAAGATATTCATATTTTTTAGGACGTCGAGGCCAAAATGATATTTATAGATATATGTATACTGAACTAAACAAATATTTCACCACTTTTCAGCCAATTGATTTTCACATGCGACTGTATTAGCCCAACTACTCATTTTTAGCAATTACTTAGTTTTTTGGGGTGTTTTATTTTGTTTTTTTTGTCTGTATCTTTTTTCTGTTTTGCTTGTTCAAACTTTTTCAGATTATATACTTTGAATCAATAATGAAGCACTGACACCCGCACAGCGTGACAAATTATGATTTTACAGTTCAAGTCTTATTTTAAAGTTCGAACATCAATTAACTTGAAAATCGATTTCAAATTAAAATAAAGGCA